CTACATATAATTTTATCATTATACAAGTACATATGGCATGTAAAATGATGAGCTTTTACATATCAACTGTGTAAACACACTATCTGTTTTCAACTTTTATTTTTGTTTGTCATCTCTTGCAATTTACAATATCATCGTTACATACGAATGGTAAAAACAGCAATGTAAGAATATTAAAAATTGACATTAGCTTAATATAATTTTTGACTTACAAAATGTCAACGTGAATCAATTGTGAAAATAAACGGAGTGTTCTAATAGTCTTCCAACAGCTTAAATGAAATTATTTGAAAAATTCTATGAATACATTAGGAAACGCGAGACGGACTCGCAAGAGCGGTTTATTATCACCGTGTCATATTAAGAGAGTGAAATATCTCGAAGCTATATAAACCTCCATCCTTGCATTGGGTAGCTCTAGCTCTCGCCTGTCACTCCCTTATGGCTCGTTTAGCGCGTTTCTCAAGTGCATCTCTCTCTTGGAATCTTACTACCTGTCGTTCGAAAAGAATATCACGTCACGGTCGTTAATTCTACTGCTATTTCTCATACGTTTTCTGCTTATTAACTACCGGTGGTTTCTGTCATTTCAGACGCACAAATATGTATTTTCTTAACACTTACACTAACAAGGGGAGACCACGATGTGTGGGTCACCGATTTTTATGCGCTTTGACACAGACCTTCTTCATCGAAAAAATCGAGGTCAAATATCGGATCAGGAGAAATCTATAGATCTTCAAAAACTAATTAATTTTACTTTTAAAATATATATATATTTGAGGGTAGCAAACCTATATTTTTCAAGTTATTAACGATTATATGTTTAATACGTGGTATTAAATGCGCTTTAAGGTCATTATGCTTCGCGCATGATTATATTTACAAACTGTGTGCCTCTATCTGTTTTCTCCAACCGTCATTTCTAAACAAGAAATCGCAGAATACAGTTTAAAAATTTGTTTCGTAAAAAGAAATACGTACGTGTATCGATTCGTACAAAAATTATTTATATAATATTTTATACAAGTAAGCAAATTAAGTACGCCATGATCTTCGATTTCTTTTTTTCGGAAACGAGGGGGTATCTAGACAAACGGCGCGACATGGATCTATCTATTTTCGATGAAGAAGGTCTGTGTCAAAGCGTATAAAAATCGGTGACCCTCCTTGTAAGATCTGCTTTAGACCAACTAATAGTTTCATTGAACTAACAATAAGTGCCAAGCAGAATTAAATTATCGAGTTAATGCTTCATTAATTTTGTCGATGAATAATTCTGATAAGATAACGGATGAAGTATTGAAATGTATTATTTATCTTTTTTAATGAATTTATATTTCTTAGTATTATCTAATAGAATGAGTATGTATGATAGTTAACAAGGAAACGTATACAATTAATTTAGAATAAAGATTAATTATGATTAATTAGAGAAAAGTATTGAAAAGACTTATATCAAATTATTTTGTATCTATGTAAAATCTGTTTTTAATGTCTGTGTTTATATATTTTTTAATGTCTATGTATAACTCATATGAACATATTTTTATTTATTTTATCTTTTATGTTATTTACATATTTATATAAATTTTATTGTTATCATGTTTCTTTCTTTCTCTCTCTCTCTCTCTCTCTCTCTATTATTAAAATATTTCCATTTATGGAAAATAAGCAAAATTATGTATTTATTTAACACGCATATCAACATTTTTAATTACACAATTTTTTTTCATTTTTAATAATATTTATTTTTCTCAGTCTTTAAATATCTATATTATTTATTATTAATCTAGAATTTATATCCAATATCTTTTATTGCGTTATCGATACTTCCCTATTTCGATAATTTAGATATTTCTTTAGTCGACAGAAGAAAGAGTTACATGTTAGTATCGATAGGAAAGATTCCTGTATTCAGTCTAAAAAATGGTATATAATGCTCTCTGGTGGCAAAGACAAGAAACCCATGCTATCTTTATTTATATAATTTAAAGAGCTATATTTTTCAAATTCTGAACAGCTTAAAATGTGATTTTGTATTCAATTTAACAAAATTACAAGTTTCTATAGTTGTTTATTTTTATTTTCAAAAAGTTCTGTTCATGTTAAAATAATATTATATTTAGTACATATATATAGTTTATTTTATTTATCGCTTTTATTGTATATATTGTATAATAGTTTTTGATTATTTTAATCATAATTTATATAGTAAAGAGTTTTTCATCTTGTGCAAATTATATCACATCAATAATCAGTCACGTCAACAATTTCTAATTATCTTCGATTAATTCAATATGTAAATTTGTTTAACAGATATAAAAAAAATGTTTCAATAATGCATAGTATATAAATTATAAATATATTGATGTAAATATATAATATTTTCCATTTAATATTATTGATCTTTTGCACTTGCAAAACATTGTTTTATATGTAATAAAAAATTCCACTTTCCAAATTTAATAGAATTTTATTCTATTTTAATAGAATTTTTATTATTAAGATAAAGACATTATATTATTAATGAAAAAGAGATGAGAGTAACTTTTTTTACTACATTTATTAAATTAATTTTGTCGACATTAACAGTTTAATAGTCGAATTTTTAATTATCATATTGATATATGTTTAATTTAATGATTTTACAGTATTTTAAAATATAACAATATATAATAAAAGTACAATCGCTTTATTTGTAGAAAATTATTCATTGGTCCCACAACGATTGAAATCGTTGCTTCAGATTAATGTCATTTGATTTTTTTATGTAAAATTACTAAAATTGTAGCTTAATAAAATGTTTGAGTTATAATAAAATTATTGCTTAATAATTAATTGTTTGGCATGACAAATTTTATTATAATTATTATATTATAATTAAATAACGATAAATTTTTTGGATATTTGTATTTTTGTTATTGTTATTAATTCTTTCATATTTTTATCTTTGTAAACATGATGGCAATAATGTAGCAGTCATTTCAATAATTATTTAAATTCACATTTTTTTCTATCTTGTTCTTAGATGTTTGATTATGTCAACATTTCCGACAAACTGTGTCTTGTTGATTAATTCTATCGCTATTATTGTCTCTGTTGCAGCACAACATTACAGCATTAATGCGCATATTATACATATATTATAATAATCCAATCACTTTGTCATTTGAAAGACATTATTACATTGGGCACGTTCAAGTTAACAAAACGGCTAACCTGCTTGCCGAGCGAATGAACATAATTGGTTATTACTTATAGATTCAACCAATCATATTCGATCGCTCGGTAAGCGTACCTAGCCGCTTTGAACTCGTCCAATGTTACAAGTATTTATCTTTAAATTTGTTTCAACGACATAGTAACTCGAGAATATTTGTAACAAAAGTAGAAATTTAAAGTAAAGAGTTTGGAGAAACAAAAAACAAACATATGTAAAAAGAAAAGACAAAAATATGTAACACGTACATCGATTTTACAACTTTCTCTAACACGTTTATAATTTATATTTATAACATTTATATACATAACATGCATTTATAATACCCTGTAATATCTACAGTTTCAACATGCACGAAGATTACATAATAATGAGACATTATGAAATGAGATTTAATTCTTCGTAGATGCTTGAAAAGGAATATAAATATTTCGGTGGGAAATCTAGTTTCGCAAAATTACTTCCCGTCGTGGAAATTAAATAATTAGTCGTATCTCACTCTTCACATATCAATTAACAAGTTGAATTAAAATTATTTTACAGATAGATAATTTTAAGCACATAATTTTTTTATGCTCTTACAAAATAATAAATAATAATTATGCTTACATGAGATATGTAGTTCGTAGAATATTTTATAAGTATTTTGAATATTATGTCAACGTTTATATCAGTGCGCAACTTTGTAATGACAATTTGCGCGGCTTTCACTACATAATGTACTGACAAGGATATTGCCTAAGGAGTTCATACAGTAACATTGATAGTATGCCAGAAAAAGTGGCACAAGGATACATATAATATTGCATTACACCTATTATGTTGTTAACACGAATCCCAGCAGGCTACACAACTAATTCCTAAAGTAACAGTGATTTTAAAACATGTTTCTGCGCACATAACTCTTTATGTAAACAAAATTATTGTTTTACTTGATAATACAATTAAGCAAATATATATATGTATATATGTATACACACATCCACAGATCGCTTTATGGAATTTGGACTGTATTTTGAGATTTGCACTCCGTGACACTCGTTTATCAACATTTTTTGTTCAATTCTTTATCTAATTACATAATAAATTATCTTTTTATAATTCGATGATTATAAATGTAATATATCGCATAATAACATGTACATAAATAACAGTATCACGTATTCAACTTAAGATATTTTCATTTTCAAGTTGAGCACTTAGTAAGTGGAATACAACTCTAATGAAGCATACGCTTCCACAATTATATAAATATATATATATATATATATATATTTATAACATGTAAACTATTTACATTCGTTGCTTAATAAAATATGAACATGAATATACATATTATACAATGAAATAAAAAAATAAAGTAAAATTCGTAAAGAATATTTCTTGTCAAGAGATTATTATGATATTACTAAGATTAACAGTTTCTTTTATTTTATAAAATTATTAACTTATATCATTATATAATATAATACTTTTTAAATAATGAACTGTATTGCTGAGTCAAAATCTCGAAATACGTTACTATACACATTCGATATTTATATTCCAAATTATTTCACATTTAAATTCTTTGATCATGTAATAGATTTTAGTAAATATTTTATCAGTGATCATTATTTGTTGTGTAATTTGTCAATTTTTAATGAATATCTAATTAATTAGGCCACAATGGCTACTAAATTAGAATACATTATCCAGCAAATAAATCGTACATTCTTGAAATATTATGTTAAACTCGTAATACAAAAACTTTTGTAAAAATTATAATTTTGCTTTGCGTAATTATCTGATCGCTTAATCATTCGCTATTTTAACGTTTTTGGTCCTTAAGAGCAGTTAGATATAAGGAAATACTTGTAACTAGGATTGGTTGCATGTAGCAGGCGCCAGCGATCTGCAACCGCGAGCTATCTGAGCGCGCCATCACTTTGAAAGCGATTGTTCTTCGAGAATTTCGTTAGCTCTCAGCTTGATCTCTTTCCAGGAATATTGTATGTCTTTGCTCTCGCTAAATCGAGAACAGACGGCGAGTCGCAGGAAGTACGTGTCCTTTATTTTCGATGGGACGAGATGGATATTTCCTGCACCGTTGATTCTCTTTAACAGAGCTTCATTGAGTTCGTTGGATCCCTGTAAATCGTTATGGAATTAGTTTTCCTGTTTCCATACATTTTTTTAAAATAATGCAGATAATATTTTTCAGATATTAATCACTTGTGCTTGTTTCTACCAACAAATTAATTTTAATCTTGATTTTCATCTTTCTAATTCTAAGAATTAGAAAGATAAAAAGAAGATAAAGAATAAATTAAATCAAGATTGTTAATCTATATTAGTGAAAATAAATATTGATCATTATTTTTAAATATTTTTCTATTAATCTGAAAAACAAAACTTATAGATATTTTTTTAAATACATATAATATTGAATATTATACATATGTACACAAAAAAGATGTTACGGCCGCCATAACCGGAAATAATGATAATTTTCGCCCATAAACACATTTGGTTGTGATAACTATAAGATAAATATATCTTAACAGCTATAACTTTCAAGATATGGTACCTTGCGGTTATATCATAGTTAGGGGAGTCATATTAGCATTCAGCTTCGGAAAAAGTCGCACGTCAAAAATTCTTTTTGGCAGTTATTAAGGAAGGTGTGTACAACAACATATCAAAATGTTCAAGCGAGAAAGTGTGTGGAAAATTTTTTATTTAACAATTAAAGTCACAAAATATGGTTTTTTGCAGATATCTTTTTAAATTCAATTTTTATCAAAAAAGTAACGATGCCATTCGAAAGAGCAGGAAATTTCACGTAAGAAACACCCGTAACATTTGTTTATGTGATTTATATTGACGAACTAGCAATTAATTAACTAACGCTCCTATTCAGGCTGCGTCGACCATCCACAGTACTTGACAGTCAGCTCCCTCGACCGCGCGCGCCGCACATAAATGGCTGTAACTTTTTCTAGGCAAAAAAAAATTATACGGGCTGAACTGGGTGTTCAAAAAGGACATTTTTCTGAAAGTATTACATAATTGAAATAATTTTTTAGAATTGTAAATATTATATATAACAGCTTGAATAAACGTATTTTATGAAAATGAGGTTATTTCGTAAAATGCGATGAAGTGTGAGAAAAAGTACGTCCAAAAAATGATTCCCTATGCGGAAATTATACTTAAAGATATTATCTAAAATACGTGTTTTTGGAAAAAAATTACAAAAATTTAGTTTCGCAAAATGTAGACGTTTGAAGTTGATTAATATTCAAAAATTCAATGTTTGTACTTCATGTCTCCCTCTTTGATCGTCTGTAAAACAAACTTAGAAAATGATATTGACAAGTTTTAGGTGGTCATTTTAAAGCTTATGATGTGCTCTTTAAGATGGAATAATTCATTTTTGAATAATGAATTATTTTTGTACTTTTTTCATAAGAAATATCAGGGAAATGCAATTGTAGCAAGAATAGTTTGAAAATTTGAGTATCAAAAAATCAACATAAATGAAAATAATAATTTTTTTTAACATTTCCATCACATAGAGGTGGTACCTGGGACATAAATCTGTGAAAATGTACGGTGTACATATTTTTTATTAGTGCCATTACTATTGGGTGATGACAAATTCGGTATTTTCCCGACAAATCCTGTATTTTCTCGGTATAAATATAATAAAAAGTGAGCATTTCGACGCAAGTTGATCTGACATATTAGTTGGTGAATCTAAAAGATGTCCACGATTGGTGGAGATTGTGAAATGTAAAGGTTGTATGCTACTGGTGGACATAGTTAGAAGGGAGAAGGCCATCTGTGAAAGTTCGGTAATCTACGGCGAAAGGCGACGTGTCGAACGTTAGTCTACGTGCACGTGGCTGCGTTGAAGGTATGTAAAGGAATTTTTCGTCATATTTCGTTACAGTTTGAATTTTGAATTTTGAATTTTGAATTTTTTGAATTTTTTGATTTTTTTTTTTTTTTTGAATTTTTTAAATCTGACATCAAATTCGTATTCAGCATACCCGAAAACCCCTACGAAACCATTTTCATAATTTTTCATCACATTATAATCGAGATATTTCATTTTACAACTAATTTTGCAGTTATTTGTTATTAATTAATTACGGGGTGATTAGCGCACATTTTTAAGACTGAACATTTTTCTTAGACAATATTTTGAAACGATTGGCGAAGGTTTCATAAAAAAATATGGAATTTCTAATTATTCCGAAGTTATAGCCTTATTTCGCCTAATATGACTCCCCTAAGTCGTACTATAGTTCTTATGATCAAAAAATGTATGATGGGCGACTTTTGGTCGTGGCAATCGTAGCTGTTTTTTTTCCGTATATCTATATCAAAAAAGACTTTTATAAACATACTTTAAAAAATAATCGACTTACCTTTAATCGGAAACAAACCAATCCCATGAGAACTTCGCCCACGATTTCGAAGCGAGGGTCTGAGAGAACTAATGCTTCGAATTCGTGTGCTTGAGCGACGTGCGACCTAATGAACTTTTGAAGGTTCTCGACCCCATAGAGCCTCAATACGAACCACAGTTTTAGAGATCGGAATCTGCGTCCAAGTGGAATCTGCCAATGCTGTAATAAAGTAGGTACATTGATATCGGTTAGCGTCATTGTTTATAAATTATTTTTTTAATTTATTTTATTAATTATATAATGTAAATTCGATGACATTAACTTAATAGACGCTTAAAAGACTTTTAATAGTTACCCTATAATCCGGTGCTGAACCTTGCATATCGTGCTTCAGGTACAAAGGATCGACGTTGAAGGCGTTTATGACATATGTCGGATCTTTAAGCCACATGGCAGAGCAGTCGAAATTAACTAACATCCATTTGTGCGGATTGAAATTGAATGAATCTGCCATTTCGATACCTTTCATTAAATATCTAAATTCCGGGCAAATAAAAGAAGATCCTGTAAAAAAATGGATTTGTTTCAGCTCTGTTTGAAGAATTCATCATTATTTTTATAAAATGAAAAAATTAATTTATACCTGCATAAGCGGCATCCACATGCAACCAAATGTCTTCACGATTTGCTACGATACCCATTTCATCAAGACGATCAAAGGCGCAATTAACAGTGGTACCCAAAGTAGCGACAGCCTATCAAAGGAGATCAATTCAGAATCTTTAAGTACTATTATAATTTCTTAATAATTTATTTTTTTCAATCAATATTAATTTCTTTTTTGCCATGTTATACTTTACGTTAATCATTTATGAGAAAGGATTATTAAATGCAACATCAATATTTTTCGTGATATTGTAAATATAATATATTATATTATTAAAAATTGTATTAGATATATGTATAATTAAATTTCCGAAAATTTTTTCGGAATATCATTTTATTACATAAATATTCATATTATAATATGTCTTTAATATGGCTTAATAATTTTTTTTTAACTAATAAAGAGAAACAGGGCTACGAGCCAATAGATTCTTTAAAATTAGTTTGAATACAAGGACTCTTAACATAAAACCAATAACTATATAAGGAACTAATAAAAGTCAAGTAACTAAATTTTTTAAATTCTATAAAAAAAAATAATTAAATCTTTTAATTATTTCTTTATATATTGCGAAGAATATCACATAATTTTTGGCGTTTCGTCCCGGCTTCCACTACTGGACTCATCGGTAAGGCATTGTAGTGGAACTTTAAATTACATGTATTTAAATTACATGTCAGTCTAAATGAGACGTTATTCTTACTTTAATAAATATTGCGAAGAATATTACTACGTCGACCCAAAATATTCATATTATATTATCTCATTTATATTGTACATCAAATTTCTTCTCTTCGATTTTATTTTCTACTTTAAAGGAATAAAAGATGAAGTAATGAAATATTCGAATCGTAGAGAAATAATCGGATAAATCGGATAAACTGAGCTTACATAAAATGGTATGAATCCTTGCTCTTTATCCTTCCTGATTGCTTCAGCAAATGTGTCGCCGCGCAGCTTATATTTTTCATCGACTTCTAATTGTCTAAACTTTACTCCACCGAGAAGTCCAGCCCGTTCAACCGAACTATGTGCTTGACCTAGAAAAAATACAATATTTTTTCACGTATACTTTTGCGATTTACTTATTATAATTATTTGATTTTAAAAAAATGTTGTTTTGACGTAACATATTTTTCTATATTATTATCGGGGCATTATATATAATTTATATAATGCCCTAATATTAAATATTTATTTTTAAAATTGTAATAACTTATACTTTTAAGACTGTAATTATTTAAATCAAAAATCTCATAGAAACATATGTGTGAGAATACAACCATAGGAGATAAATACTCTTTAACAGTCTAGTCGAATCTTAAAAGTGCTTTTATAATTCTATATTTAAATCTCGCATGTACGTATGTAAGTTTTTTAAACTGCACGCCGAAATGATTTTTTTTGAATCGCAAATTCCACTGAATTACCGCAGTAATATTATAAATAAAATTGACTAATAATTTATAACAATTCGATGCTTATAAGCATTACAGAACGATCTTAATAATTCTGAATGATATTCAAATCTATAAATAATTTTATTACGAAAAATATTATCTCAGCCGAGGATCGAACCCGAATCTTTTGCATTCCGTGGGATCATTCTAAGCCTTTAGACTATCGAGGCCTTCATAATATTCTTCGCAATAACTGGCATATGTAGGAACAACGTTTTATTTCAGGCGACATAAATAAACAATATTAAACTAAAAATTTCATAGAACCCCCCGTACATGTGAATGCATAGCCAATAGAAAACAAATGTCTTTTGTATACTCATGAAATAAAACGTTCCTATATATGCCAGTTATTGCAAAGAATAGATATTACTAAGGCTTCGATGGTCTAAAGGCTTTGGACGCTCGCACGGAATGCAACCAAATTTGATCCCTGACCAAGATAATATTTTTCGCAGTAAAATTATTTACAGATTGTAACATTCTTTTGTATAATTACATTATTACTATAATTTATATTATGTGCCCCGATATGGAATATTTATTTAAAATTATAATAATTTATATTTGTAAAACTGTAATTATAAGATACGTTACATGAATGGATATATAAATTCAATTAATTTTGACAAACGTGTTAATTTTATTTAACATATCGTTTTTCAGCAATATGCATAGTTTCTTTTATAGATGTCGATAAAATTATCAACCTCATTTTCAATTGCGGTAATTGCTTAAAAAAAAAGAATAAAAAATTCTCCATTTTTTTATAGAACAATAGTGGGGCTCATTGATATTATTCCGTTCGATATTTCTAATCGAGGAAATATTCACATTATTCGTCGTATTGAAGAAGAATTCTAGAAAAATTTTCTTTTCTTTTTTTCCATTTCGAATAAAGTGCGTCGAAATTATTATGGGCGTTGAGAATAGCAGAGAAAGTTTGGTCTGAAATATAACTGGAGCGGTTATTACGAGTTGCCATGACGACAAAGTGCTGCTTGATGAAGTGCCGTGAACCCCATACTCACCCTATCACTCCATCCCTCTCAACCCCTCTATTCACATGCCTTTGCAGTGATTGCCTGGTCACTGAAAGCGACCGGACACTTTTCAGCATTATATCTATACACCTCGAGGTAATGCAATAAATACGAATAAAAAATTGCCGTCTCCGATCAGTGATGCGTTGTAATAATTCTAGCTTTTTGCGATTATATAATATTGAAAACAGTTACATAGAAATAAAAATAAATTAAAATAAAAAAGTATTTTGTAAATTAAAAAATATCTTTACGGTGATCGTTTAAACTAATTTATAATACATATATTATTTATGTATTAGATGTTATAATTTATTATTAACATTTTTTTAACATATGTATTATCATGACAAACGAAAAATATTATAAGATGGATAGCAGCATTATTTAAAAAAAATTGTATTTATCACAAGATGTTTAAAATACAACCATAATATAAAATTCAATATTTTATTAGAGTAAAACACAAATACGTATTATATATTAATAATCAATGTAATGACATTTTAAAAATTACAACACACTATCTTTTTATATTTGTATTTCTATATAAAGCTTAACTGCGACTGTCATGGTTCACGTATTCAATACTCATCGAGATATATGTCATAGTTCAAGTGTTTATTTAAAGTCATTGAACTATACGTTACACTTGACGTTCATTGTGCTGCTTATTTGCTCGATAAAATTGGACAAAAGTTGATTGATAAACAATTTATGCTCTGAATGTAGCGTATAAATTCGTTTCTGACTGGATATTCGAATAAATAGTTAACTGTGTTTTCATTTTGTGTGGATCGCTTTTTTTATATATCAGTGACAATTTCTGTAGCAGCATGCAATATACTCACAAGAACAGTATGCGACTAGTTTGCTGATGATCTCGTTTTCCGTCCAATCAGGATGCTGCTCTTTAACTTGCTGTATTTTCTTGGCCTTCGCTCCTAGTAACGCTACTAAAGTGGCTTCGCTAGCAGTGCCCTATAGATAAAAATTACTAGATGACTTCCTTATCTTCAGGAATGTCAGTCAGAAATGATTACCCTTTAGATATCTAGATATCTTTTGTAAATGTAACGTTATTTCTGAAATATTATTTACCTGAATAACGCCACCGCCTTTTCCACCGCTACAGGCAAGAAATTCTTTCGGCAAGCTTAGCATTTTTCCTAGCCAATCCAACACGATTACTTCTAATTCTGTACAAGCTGGACTCGCGATCTAGAATTCAGAATATTTAAATAAAAAATGACTAAAAGAATGATGTATCTTCAGTAGTCTAATCTTCGTGTTCATGTTTCTTTGTTTTACATAGTTTTACTTTTACTGATATTACTTTCACTTTTTTTTATTTATTATAAGAAATAGATTTATTTTTAAAAGAGATATAAATAAGAATTTTATTGTGTATATACTATACAGAGTATTCAGCGAACATTAAAAGTGCGTGACACATCGATTTCAAAGCGTGAACACGTGAAGCTTATAACAATCATTCGAGATGAATGAGGCATTCGCATTTTTCAATTGCAAGTTTTTATATTTACCCATGTGAATCCAATGCACGCAATAGCTCCACTTAACATATCAGCCAGAATCGAGGGATACGATTGCGCAGTAGGAAAGTATGCGTGGAATTTTGGACTGTGCCAATGAGTAACCTAAATAATATTATCTTAATTTAATTCTAAACTACTTGTGTGTGTGTATGTGTGCAAAAATCGAAGGTTATAATAAAATATTCTACTTTTTAAATTTTAGTATCGTTATATATTTTTTGTTACGCGGTATGAGTGCGAGTAAGTCATTAATTGTAATTGTCTTAATAGATTGGTGATTTATGATAGTGACATTTGAAAATCACTTACACCTGGCATTATTACTCTTTCAATATCGGCCATTATGTCCTGCCATTGTTCAGGGGTCTGTGGTGCTTCGGATGGCAAGAGGGGTTTCATATAACCAGGTTCCACCGTAGGTAAAACCTTTCTGGAAATTTTTGAAATTTCCGTATAGGAGATATGTTTATATTAAAAAATATAAAATAATGTATAGAAAGAACGACTTTGCTAAAATGGATAGATGTCTAAATATTTATCTAGGTATATTTAAAAATAATTTTATTGGACTATAATAATTACGTAGAAAAATCTTAAACATGCTGAACAATGCTGCAAAAATTTTTATTATTTTGTCAGTCAGTTTGAGCATCCTTGTATAGTTATTTTGATGTTTCAATAAAATTATTTTCGGATCTCTGCATCTAACAAAATTTTTTAGGTACTTCAATACTTCAAATCGTCTCTTTTTGTATACATAGATTATTATTTAACGATTAAACCATTTCTAAATTACATATATATTACTTACCTGTCTCTAATATTTTCCAAATAATTTGCGACGTATTCTGCCATATCCTTGGCGTAATCCTTGAAACTATCGGGATCCATAATTTGTCTTCTTCGATACCTGTAATATTAAGATAAGATTATAACGAAGATATAACAATATTTGCTGTTATGCATTAACAAGTGGAGTAGGTGCGGTTCTCTAGTATCCTTGGCATATCGTGTATACACGAGTGCTTTGAATGTCATGTATCTGTTTTTATTTTTTTAAGATTGAACGTTTATCGGAATGATTAGAAAATTATAGCGATTGTATTTCCGCATATTACGTGATGAGAATAAATGCAAATGACTATAAGGATCTTGCTCTATCGAGATGACCGTGACAATTTATAGAAAGCACGTAAAGCAGTTGTTTTGCTTCAAGGATATGTCAAGAAAAACCACGATTTCAGATAAAAAGAGAAAGTGACACTATGACGAAGAATAAAGTAGTTAAACCTCGGAAATTGCATGAGGATGATATTATCAAGGAATTGCATAAGCACATGCGCTAAAACGTACAATAATATTACCTTAATAATGGAACGGAGTTGGAATTACATATCTTAATCATTTATTATACGGAAAAAAAGACTATGGTTGCCACGACCAAAAGTCGTCTATCAATACATTTTTTGGATATAAAAACTATAGTACGATTGTGCGATAACATTTAGATGAAGTTATGTTAAGATATGTTCATCTTACGGTTATCACACACACACCACAAAATGTGTTGACGAGTAAAAATTATCATTTATTTCCGGTTGATAGCAACCGTAACATTTTTTCTGTGTACTCATTAATAATTTATTAAATTTCGTACATACAATACTTTATATGTAGTTAATTATAATTCTATTAATAATCTTAGTAACACACTAGTCGATTATAAGGAGAATTTAGATTTATGTAGGTATCTTACTATATTTTCTGATTCTAAAAAAGAAGTTGGAATTTATCTCATTGCATTTTGTTAACAACTTGTTAACAACTTATATAGAATTTTTTAAATTAAATTAATTTATTGTTGTGTGAAGCCTTGTAATGAGTAGGAACTCATGTTATTCAGCAGTTGTTCTCGAAGAATCATTTTTTAAATATTAAAGCAAAAGAAATAAAAGAACGAATTTTTAAATGTCTGTTAACTAAAGAAACTTTGTTTTTTTTAGAAATTCAGCAAATATGTTTAAAATTAGACAAAATAGTATACTATAAGAAGCATCCTGTCAATTTAATATGAAAAAATAAAATTTCGTTTACTTAATGATAAGCCTAACAATTGTGATATAACACTACTTTTAGGAGAGAATTAAATCTGTAGCTTCTTTTCGTTACTTTGGACATAACGTCATTATACGTAAATGTTTAATAAAAAAGTTATAAGTTATTGTTAGATTTACCGTATAACTTTTGAAAAAAGCTAACATCACTAATTACGTCAAGTCAAAATACATCTTTTGTATTCTTTGTCCAGAAAAAAGATTTTATATGGCAAAAATAGGTATAATATATAAATACATTTGGCCTTTTAAGCGAAATGTTTAATAAGTCTATCGATAACTAATGATAAACGATTTAAAGCTAATGACGCAGGTATTGAGAAACTCGGTAACCAGTAAGTGAAGGAGATGCATATGTGTCTATGTTGCTAGATAGAGTGTCTGCGAGATCAAGAGTGGAAGGAGAAGGACAGCAAGATCGTATAAGAACGGTTGTGACGATCAGTAAAATCGCCTTCGTAGAGAAGTAAGAGTGAACTCGCCGTAATGACCATGACTCATTTTCATGGAGCTGGTTTCATTCGAATCGCTGTTTGCCGCTGCCTGTCTATCGCGTCGAAGCATGATTTTGTCTGCTACGGTTTTTTACCCACTCATTGTTACGTACTCGCGGAATGTTGCAACACAAAAGATGTAAATTAAATTTTAATAATAAGTTATTAAGCACTGTAATCAATAAGATATCTAAAATTTTTAACGCACAGAATAATGTTATTTTTGTTTCAAAATGTTGAATCATTTCTTTTATAGTCCTTATAATAAATATTTTAGTAATGAAATGAAAACAGAAATTTATAACTAATTTAGAAAATCATGCTATTTATATCCATATGAAATTAAAATAGTACTTTTTATTCTAAATTAATAAAATTAAGCTTGATAATTAAGAGCTTGTCCGTAATATTAACATTGTTGAAAACTGAAAGACAAGAAAATAAAATGTGAATAATATTGTATTTGTTAAAAGAATATTTGAGAATAATAATTAAATATTTTCAAACGTCTTAAGGAAAAGCAGGAGAAAGGGAACAAATGAGAAACGTAAAGACTCGTTCCTTATGCGATACAGGAAACTCCCGCGGTGGTCATGCAGGGAATTCCCTCTTGCTCTAATATCAATAAATATTTCTTGAAAGAAAACTGTGAACACGCTTTTCGCGTCAGCAATTAAAAATAATTACGAATCATCTGATTTCTGATCGGGTTATCATAAAGTCATTACGATCTATTTATTTGAGCTGCGATGCAACGTTTTACTAGATACAATAATTCTTACGAGATAATTCTACGTACGAGACAGTACACATTATAACTCGAAAATATCGTATTTTTTTTTATAAAAAATATTTTATTTTATTCACATTAATTTATATCTCGCGTCGTGTATTTTGTGAAATGTCTACTATGACCATGACCAATATGTTTCTTTAAATTCCAGAAATAATGTAAGTTAAATGTCAAACTGTGGATCACCTTTTAGGTAATACTCATTTTTTAAATAAAATATTATTATGTTATTTAATTTATTTAGTAATTAATTATTGAATAAGATTGTTATATTATTGCATTTTTTAGATTTTTATCGCTTACATTAGGCATTGTATCGTAATAGACTTGATGATATGATATCAAACTGTATTTACATTAATAATAAATTCTGATAAAAAGGAATGTTGGTTTACTAATTATTAATAAATACAGTTTAACGATCGTTGATCTTTTGATTGATGTGTTTTCCTAGATGCTAATAACGCGATAAAGAAAGTCTCATTAAAAAAATTTTGTATTCATATGCCCTGAATGAAACCAATTGAAATATTCGCGCTAAATTTAAATGAATCACAAATATAGCACTCGCCGCAAACGTTACTCTTATTTATACAATTATTCAGAGGGCTATTCCTATTTATAACACGCCAATATACTAAAAATAACTCGCTAATATTAGATAATCTCAAAATACTATTCAATCTTTTCTTTAATCATCACTTTTGAGGAACGTGACAGATTAATTTAACGCTAATGCGCTTAGCTAGCTTTTCGATCGAACTATGTTGGGGCAAAAGCTATAAACTAAGTTTAATAATTGATTTTGGACACTGTGTGCGTTTAGAGACTAACAAGTGCTATTAAAGTTTACTCCTTGACGTCAATTACAGAACCTTCAAGAGCCTAAACAATCTTGTTTCAACATTATTTAGGCTTTTATTAAATATACCAAAATGTACTTATATTGAACATATTATGTAAAGAAATTTTATTAAAAAATGTTTATAAATGATTATTATATATTTAAAACGTTTGTTATTTTTGTCATGTATTTTTATATATGACAAAATATATTAACGTAATTATGCATTACGTTCTATCTCATATATAATTATAATACTTTCACATATACTGTATAATAAAATACTTTTACGCTTATTTAAGTACGATGTTTTTTTAAATTTTAACTTTAATATTATACTAACAAATTTTTTATAGAACACATAATATCAAAATTTACGAATTAAAATACCACAACAGAAAAAGTCCTTGAAAACGTATTTGCCATTTGATGTTTTGAGCAGTAGTTTTTGAGGCATAAAGATTATAAAATGGCTAATTATAGATTATGATTGAATCTGTTCTTATCATAAATTACTGGAGTTCATCGTTCAAGTACATTATCGTAAAAATTGCCGTTAAAAATGTAACAGACGACATGATTTATTTAATTAATAAATTTTCTTTTTATCAGCTTCTAAAAATTGTTTTAAATACTACAAATTGTACTTATAATGTCTATAACAATTCAAACTTTATATTCTACAATCTACGATTTTATAAGTACTGATATAACTATGTAGATCTATATAGGTAATGCTTAAAAGAAAACAGAAATACGAATACATTTTGCTTCTCTAGATGGAATTGAATTGATATTCGATTCACATTTGAAGTAACTCACGAACCTCGATAATCTGGCGATTTACTGAGCAATCCTTCTTGACAGCGACGGTATCCACGTGCCCGTGACGATACCGCGAGCTAGTGAAGTGCGCACGACTGGTGTTCCACGACGAATTGCCGCTCCATCCGCGCAGTACCGCGCTTTATGCAACTCCCCACCTCTTTGTCATTTACCAGAGGAACTGTTCGACCAATCACGATCATGTCGCATGTCGAGATTCGCTTGCCTCGTCCCATCGCGAATGGTCAAGGATCGATAACGAATACGCAATCGATAACAGCTGGTCACTCGATTAGCTGAATACGTAGGTGGTTGACGCGTTAATTTTTACTGTGGCAATGACAAGAAGTGCTGTTTAATTTTACTTGCACATCTATGCAATTGTCTGTTTCACGCTAGTCACGGTAAATTAATTAAGCGTTCTATAATTAAACGAAGAAAAGATTTTCTAATTATAATAGAAACTGTTTTAAAGCTTCAGTTTTACAATTTCGTAGTATTTATTTAACTTTACGCAAAGAATATGTATATTATTTAATTGTAGAAGAGATATGTTAAACTAATGAAATCATTAGTAAAAATTACCTAGCGTTATACAATAGGTTAATTAACTTAAATAAAATTGACATTACTACAATGATTACAAAAAAATATAGATAAATATATATGAAGATAAAAATAATTATGTGATCATCCTGTCGGCTCATATATCATATAGGTTATTGATATTATTAAATTTACTACAATGTGTTTTAAAATTTAATTAAAACTGAATCATCGTCATTTTATGATTTCGATGTATTAGTTTATTGCTTTAAGTTAACTGTTGTTGAAACGTATTTTATAGTTCTTAATTAATGTCTTCCAAGGCAACGGTATCATTACGTTAAGAAGACGATATCGCGAAATTGAAGAGGCGTAGAAGCAGCTGGAAAGCAAAATTAGGGCGCTGTCGTTAAAGCGACGTCATTTGTAATTTCATTACAAGTGCAAAATCAAGGAAGCATTCAGACGATAAATCGAATTATTCCAGATAAGCACGATCCTAGTTTTCAATCGTACACTTCCTGTTGCTTAATGCTCGCTGGCGTTGCTAACACGAGATCTTAGGCAATCTGATTGTGATCTAGAAAGGAATCTTAGAAACAAAAATAGCTATTCTTTCATAACAATGTGGTAGATGAAGGTTACTCTCCATGAAAATCGAAAATAAAAGAAACTTTACGCTTAAATTTTACATACATTTTTTTTAATATAAAGAAGAAACGGTCTAAATCAAGCGGTAATAAGATTTTTTTATGAAATAAATTTCTAGTTTACAATACAACATAAAAATAAAAAATATAAAATATATAAAAAAATATAAAATAATATAAAAACAATATCGAACGTTTCGAAACTCACGGGTCCTTTTTCAGCGATTTTTATAGATGTTACAATGTCATAAAGATGAAAGCATAATTTTACGATCTAAGCGACATAATGTGATACAATTTGTTCGAAGAAATTGATTCTCCTGTTTTTGTGTGAATGTGGAAATTGTGTGATAAAATGTATAGAAACAGAATCGGACGAATATTTTTTTCTTTGTTCTTTTGTAGTTACGAATAAAATAATTTATACGGAAATTATTGATTTTAATCGAGGAAACAATATTTTTTATAGATTGTTTTTTAATATTTTACTTAAATATCTTAAATGTCTCGTATTTACGCCCGAAAAATTAATAAAATATAAAATTTGATTGCGGCTGTTGAGAACTTTGTATTAATCGAAACTTTTCCGTATACCGGTGTTATTATTATAATAGATTTATATATATATATA